CTGTGTTCTAATTGTGTCTGTCTGGGAAGTGTTCGTGTTTTCTCATTCACTGGTTTAATGAATACTGATATATTAACATACCTTTTGCAAGGAAAGAAAAGTGTGTGTTCACTTCCGTCCCTATATATGTTCTCTCTCCCAATAAATTTTGAACCACGTAACGGATTTCCTCTAAATTTAGGTAAAAAGGTAAAGTTAAAACTATCCCTGTAACAGGCCGTGAAGGCCCATAGGGTTGTGAGACATCGATGCTCCAACATTTTGCCTAGACAGTCGGCTCACAGATGGCGGTAAGGTTGTCAGCCTTACTTTCCGGCCGTCCTTACCCCCATTAAGATTCCTGGTAATCATTTCTGTTAGAGGCCCAGTCTACCTCAGGGCCATAGTGCGGCTGGAAATATTAGGTCAAATGAAAAATCCTGGGACCTTGTCGGGAATCGAACCTGCGACCTTTCGGCTTGTAGCATAGTGACTCAACTAACTACGCTAACGCGTGTCACCGTCTAAAATCTGTACTGATAGAAATTATGTACAGGAATAGGTCACTGAACTGTGCATTGAATAACATATACCGCCCGATAGTCGTGATATTCAGAGAGAGGCAATGTAAGAAAAACAGTCGCTTTGTTTTCTTTGTGACGCAAGCGCGGCACAGGTATTCGTAGTGCCGCAGTATCGCTGGTAACCCACTTTCAGTCTTCCGTCGGTAATTCCAACTGATCTTTATGGCGAAAATAGCGTGTGCCGAAAGTACTAGGACTCTCTAGAAGTGACTCATACATTGTTATGTGAAGTCGCGTCAAGGATACTAATATCTTGCTCTTTGTTTCTTTGGTTGAGATGATGGAAGGACAGAAATTTAAAAGGTCCTAAAAGCAAAACAAAAGAAAACTGAACTAAATGGACGTGAGCTGATTGGGAGTACAGAAAATTAAATTATTAGGAGTTCCGCAATTCCGTTTGTTGTTAGGGTCGCTAACAAATTTTACGCCCCCAACGAAAGTTACGAATCTGTTCTTTTCTTAATTTATTTCTCCCCAATTCGGATTTTATTATCACCAGTTGTTAGTTGTTCTTACAAATGGACACATTCTGAGAAACGTATTTCTGATTTTTCATTCGCTGAAGCTGTATGTCTAGCTCAGTATAACCCCGTATATTTTAGAAATCTAACGGTAAAATGTTTACCAATGTGGGTTTCGTCAAGGAAGATCAACTAACGATCATATTTTCACTATTCGACAGGTCCTTGAAAAGTGTAATGAATTCCAAATTGAAACACATCATCTTTTCATTGACTTCCGGTCAGCCTGTGACTCCATAGATAGAAATAGTCTTTCTGGCAATGGAAGAGATGCACATTCCACGGAAGTTAATCGCCTAAGTCAGAGTCACTGTGAGAAAGACCCAATGCCAAATTAAGATTCAGAATATGCTGTCTAGCCCTATAATAACTAGAAATGGAGTTCGACAAGGGGATTCCCTAGCCTGCATTTTGTTCAATATAGCCTTAGAGAAGGTAGTTAAGAGATGCAGGCATCAATACAAGGGGGACTATATTCTATAAGTCAGTTCAAATTTTGGCCTTTGCAGATGATGTTGATATAATTGGTGGAGCACAAAAATCTATGAAAGAAGCTTTTCTTAATTTGGAAAGATCAGCAAAAAAGATGAATCTACAAATTAACCAAAATAAAACAAAGTACATGCCGGGAACCAAGAAAGACTGTGCTAATGGACCTGCATACACGTATATAGAAATTGGCTCACATAAATTTGAGGCTGTATGTAGTTTCACTTACCTTGGATCAGAAGTTAACTGTAAAAATGACATCAGTGATGAAATAAAAAAGCGTGTACTTGCAGCAAATAAATGTCTCCATGGGCTTAGGAAACACCTGAAATCCCAATTAATACCCAGGAAAACCAAAACTATGATGTATAAAGTACTTATAAGATCAGTGCTATCTTATGCCTCTGAGACATGGCCACTGTCAAGATCGGATGAAAGACTGTTAAGTATATTTGAAAGGAGGATCTTGAGATATATCTTTGGAGCAGTCGAAGAAAATGGAATATGGAGGAAGAGGTATAAGCCTGAGCTATACAAACTTACGTATTTAATGAACCAGACATTATTGGATTTATAAAGGTGAAAAGGCTTGCATGGGCTGGACACATAATACGTGCCAGCGAGAATGGAACATTGTTGTTTACTTTCCATACAGTACTGACAATTCTTCGTAAGATGAGGCACCGACTATACAATTAATTAATTTGCAACATCACGGGCCTCCTATACATTCTTGTATAAAAGAAATATCGAACTTCCAATTAGCCCATGGAAACGTATGAAAAGCAAAAAATCAACGACTGATTCGATGTTGTATAACATCAATTAAGTTTCATCTTGTTTTATACAATAACTTATAGTTTTTATATAATATGACATTGTGTTTTTACGCAAAGTATTTTAAATGATTGCATCCAATCTAATGTACAGCAGTTCAATGGTATATGTTTGTTAATATGTGTTTGCCTGATGATGGCCGTCAGTGGCTGAAACATGTAGCGAAACCATAGCTGGGCGCTAACCTTGATTTTTTCTGTTTGCTGTGTTGTGACGGTCAATAAAGGAGTTGAAAATACTTAATACTAAACCAGAAGGAAATAGAAAAGTGGGAAGACCAAGATTGAGATGGTAACAATGTGTGTGGCAGGACATAAGAATTTTGGGTATAAAGAACTGGAGGAATGTAGCATCGAATGGAGAAGAATGGCGAGCAATCCTGAGGAAGGGCAGGGCTCACAAAGGGCGGTCGTGCGGTCGTGCCTGTGGTGATGATGATGATGATGAATGGGAAAATGTGAGTTATACACAGCACCAAGTTTCCCTCTACAGAATTCCCTCCATTGTGCGTTTAGTTATTTTTGTCCTTTACATGTATTTTCCTTAGCACTTCGCTGTGTGTGGTCGAAATATAACTGCGTATGACAAATTGTAACATATGTTAAAATTACCTTAACCTCTTTTAAGGAACTGTATACCTTCGTTTCTTGGAATGGCCTAAGGAAACATACGAAATGTCTCGTGCTATCCGCCCCCCTGGCACGAGAATCAACCTTGGACCTCCCGAATCTGGAGTACCGTACACTCCTATGAAGCTGGATCGCCTGCTTCAGTTCCTTCTCTACTCACCATTAATAGTTGTCCCATCTGAGTGGAAATAACGTAGTTAAATAGCATAACAATCCGGTTCACTTTTACTCTTAACAGGCTCACATATTCACAATCATATAGTGCTCCCACAGAATCAGTCAGTCAGTGGAAGATAACGAGATGTCGAGAGATATATACAGAGTGTCCCAGGAGGAATGGACCAAACCGTTCAACTTTGGACATAGGTGTTTTGGGTTATATCGGCATACTTAACATAAGGAACACCTTCCCGAAGTTTGGTCCATTCCTCCTGGGACACTCTGTATGTAGAGCAGATGTGCATGGTCTGGTACCTTCAGAATACGGGTCAAGTTGCGGATAATTTCGCTAGACCGGCTTACACGTGTGTGAGGTTTCAAGTTCGCTGCAGACATTGCGGAGGTCTGCGGTGGTGGTTGTGCCTTACTCCCTTATATGCAACGCGCATGCATTTTAATGCTGTATCGCTAAGGAACGGGGTTCTAGGCAAAAACAAATTCACGAAACCCAACGCACCATTCAAGTTTCTACCGTTATTGCTTATATATAGTTCTGTGCCGCGTAAAAACACAATTTACACATTTTTCTACAAATAAGTATTTGAGATAGTGAATAAAACTAAATGAATACACGAATATTTCGCACGTCTGCGAAGCCTGTTATTAGAATGTTGAATAAGTGACTCATGTCCAGTAAGCACCTTTTGTTTTGACTCAGGGATCCCCCGCTCGGGGTTCTAACAATTTAGATGTAAAGGAGCCCATACACGTACGAGCCTGGCTCGCGAGTCCGACTCGGATCGGGTTCCAATGAGCCAAACTCGTCCGTGTGTGGGTCGCCATGCTCATGCCTGTGTGATGAAATTAATCCGAGCCCGGCTTCCGAGTCAAACTCGCCGAGTGGGACTTGCGAGCCAGACTCGTACGTGTATGGGCCCCTAGAGCATCCTTGGTACATAAACAACGCAGGATCCATGAAGATCTGCAAATTGACACAGTGCTCAGCGAAATAAAGAAGCGGAATGCCAAATACTTAAGAGAATTAGAATACCACACTAATGCACTAGGAGTGAACCTACTAGGCCACAGCGAAACTACACATATAAGTAGACTGAAAGATACTCCGCCTTAACTCTACCAGACAGACCTGAGTAAAACCCCAATACAAGAATTAAAATGATTTTATAAGGAAATATCCAGCAAAATTCGAGTATTGTGTGGGAAAGAATAAACTTTGGTGTTCACGGAGTAAACAGATCTTGTTACTGGTGTTTGGAAAACGTAGACATGTTAAATATTCACATATCAAGTCACCAAGACTTATATTATTAAATTTTATACATATGTATGTATCCAAAAATATTTGTTACAGCAGAAAGTTTGGATATATGTTTTTTGGTGAATACTACGTGTATATAGTATAAGCAGTAATCGTAGTACGTACTTTGAATGGTACGTGGATTTTGGTGAACATAAACAGCTGCAAAAAGACTGTTCCCTTAAAACATAGAAATCTGTTCACCATTCAACATGTACAATTTCAGTTCCACTCATTTCGTATCATTTCTGAGCTTATTTAAAAGTGTGGGAAACTGCATATTCCTGAACGGCCGATGAGTGTCATGCGTACACGAAACGGACCTTACTTTGCAACAGTAGATTTGAATCTGCAATAAAGGGCATCAGATCCACTGTGATATGACGTAAGAAAGCACGAGTTTGGAAGATGTATGCAGATAATCAGTTTTAGTATATTTTTCTAGTCCTTCAGAGTCATGAACAAGACGTATAACTCATTGCAGAGTCGTGGGTGGAGCTGAGCGCCCAGCCGACTAGCAGTCACACTCCTGACAGGGTGACGCCTTTGCCGTTTAGTTCTGGTGAGGAATACCTGCGTCTCCTGAGGGAAGCACAACGCGAGAGCAACCAGTCCTCAGCCAGAGTGTCCGTCGCCTCTTCTCGCAGGGACACCCCCAGGGACAGGTAAGGCAGTGAGAAGGCGTCGTGCTAGTTAGTTGAGGAGCGAAATAGAAAACTGTTTGCTGTCAAGTTTATGCGTCCATTGCAGAGAGTGCAGACCTTAACGCTTAGAGTGAAAGTTGTTCATGTCCATCTGTCCACGTCTTTTAACTCTGGAACTATTAGATATATATCAATGGAATTTGACATTGAAGGTCTCCACAAAATGTTTTCGGGCAAGTTTGTGTTTTATTCTTACCAGTCAGATGTAGGCCTGGTTTACGTGGAGATCAAATAGAACGTACCTATTTTGTCAGATGCTGACCACCCGGTAGTTGATATATGACACGAAGCAAAATGGAGTAGGCGCACTCTTTTCTACCTTCATTTCGTTTTTATGGCAATTGAGGATATGTTTTTGAGACCGATTGAAACACTTCCGATTTAATGTGCCGGATTGGGTGAGACTCAGTCCACTTGGCACGTCGACCACTGTTTGGGCTATTCTACCAGCCCCGGATGATAGATGATGTGTGTGAAGCAGTCGGTAGAATGAGAATTGGCAAGGGAAACCGAAGTACTCGGAGAAAACCTGCTCCAGCACCTCTTTGTCCACAACAAATTCCACATGACCTGACCTGGGCTCGAACCCGCGCCGCCGCAATAGGAAGCCGACGGCTAACCGTCTAAGCTATGGCACGGCCGTGTTATATAGTTTACTAGACAGAATGATGGACTAGGCACAGGATGGTCGAAATCTGTACTTGGTTGAGGCTGTCACATTGCGACTGAAAGTCAGTTAATCAGTAAGTCTTGGTGTCGAGCCCCATCTGGGGCTCATGACCAGATATTTATTACTGTTTGACAGTTACCCTCTTGTTTTTTTTTTTTTTTTTTTTNTTGTGGTGTGCCCTCTCTGACAAGAGGACGGGTCTGTCATTTGTACACGCTACTGATCCTTGCCAGCGCAGTCTTTCTCGGTTCCGAGTTCCTTGGGACCCGCGACCATGTTTTACTATCTCGGATTTGAGACATATAGGTCATTAGGGAGATGCGGGCGTAGATGGAAGATTATATTAAAATGGATTTAAAGAAGTAGAGGGCGTGGATGTGGACAGGATTTTTCTGACTTAGCATGTGGTCCATTGCTGGGTTTTTATGAACAGGGTAACGAAACTTCGGGTTCTATAAAACGCGGGAATTTCTTGACGACCTGAGCGACTACCAGCTTCTCAAAGAGTCTGCTACATGGGGTGAGATACTTACGAGTATGTTCTGGTCAGAATATGGATATAGCCCTATTGGCCAGTGTGTATCATGGCTGTGTGCATCTTTAGGTTACTGCTTTGCTGTACCAACCCCAGGAGCACCAATATGATGTAGTATCGATGGAGGAAGTAATTGGCTTCCATGCCGTTGCTGTGTTCCCTTTGCCTCAGATACGAATGGTATCCTCAGGGTAGCTATAGTGTGTTGACATTGTTCATTTCCTTTGATAACCCAACTTCCGCCGGAAACCATTGCCACAAGACAGATCTCCTCTGCTGAACATCTTCATTATTATGATCACTATAGCCATACCACCGGGAACAAACTGGAAATCCACCGTCCCCTCCTCCCAGGTGTAATTTGAACATTACGTCCATCATCCGTGGGCTGCAATAAATATTCTTGTATGCTGAAATCCGTTCCCTATCGGTGATAAATGTTAGGGAAATTCTCATTCGCCGAACAGAAAATCGGCTTCTTAAGGAAGATGTCCCACTGTAAAATAGGCCTACTATTGGATAGTGTAGTAGACATGTTTGTAAATGGAGATTAGTTAGTTAGTTATTGGAGAGGGTGGGTTTCCCCATGCACTTAGACCTGTATTGGTCCATTGTGCTTCTCTCTATGATTTCTACCAGTCTCTATATCCTACCGGTACTGGTGCTTACCATCAGTCCCGCCCAGCCAGCGAGACCGGCTCTACTAGCTGAGAGGTATCTATAATGCTTCCCCCATCTACCAGAGGTATTAGAGACTGCTGTTGGGCGGGAAACGTCCGTAATTTGGCTCAGTGACCTCCTTTGGAGATATGAGGTTCTTTTACGTGCCGTAAAGCTACGACACGGGACCCACGGCTTAAAGTCCCTCCCGGAGGACTTGTTCCCTGAATTTTTCCGCCCTTAAAAATTCGACGACCTCCGCCGGGTATTTGAACCCGCGTACCACGAGTCATGAGGTGGGAACGTTACCTCTAGACTACGGAGGCCGCTTAAATGGAGATTGGTTATTGCGCTGATTAAAAGGTCAGCTGCTTAAGTAAGATGTGTTATAGGCATGCCGAGGGACAGTGCAGTATACAGGCATACCACGGAGGTATTGCAAGTTCGGTTCCAGATCACCGCAATAATGCGAGTCACACGAATTTTTTTGTTTTCTCAGAGCATATAAAAGTTATGTTTACACAATACGGTAGTCTGTTAAGTGTGCAATAGCATTATGTGTAAAAGGTCAATGTACATACCTTAATTAGAAATATTTTATTGCTAAAAGTGCTAACCATCATCTGAGCTTTCAGTGAGTCGTAATCTTTTTACTGATGGCGGGGTCTTGCCTCGATGTTGATGGCTGCTGACTGATCAGGCTGGTGGTTGCTGAAGGTTGGAGTGGCTATGGCAGTTTCTTGAAATAAGACAATAATGAAGTTTGCCTAATCGATGGACTCTTCTTCTCACGAAAGATTTCTCTTTAGCATGCGATACTGTTGGACCCCTCAGACTCCTGTTAATATTGATATTTTGACCTCCTCCCATGAATCGCGAATGTTCTTAATGGAATCTAGAATAGTGAATCGTTTCCGGAAAGTTTTCAATTTAGTTTTGCCCAGATCCATCAGAGGACTCATTATCTATGGCCTTAAGAAATGTATTCCTCGCTCGCGGATTTTTCTACCCTGAAGATGGAGGCGATACCTACCTCAAAAGCGTCGGTTCACACAAGGCGCCACATCCCAGAAGACGGCATTCTTTGTACCTTCACGTTCTCATCGAGAGCGGCTGTGAACGCCATGCAGCTTCGTGCCAGTGCCTTCTTTGCACCGTGGTAAGGCCGACTGTAGTGATGAGGTCTAAAATGGTTGGTGTTTGCCCAACATCCCATTCAGTCCCGCCTTACCATTAAGACAATTTGCGGGTGTTTCGTAGCACAGAGAACCACACAAACTAACAATATTATAAAACAACAAACACTTCTTATTTTGAATTGAATTTTCAAATTTCTCCAAGTTCCAAGCTTCTGCAAGACTAGAGACCTACCGATTAAGAAGAATAAGAATAAGATGAGGATATGGTCGTAGTCACAAATTGATAAAGTTTGTGCCGTTGTCCTCTGCTAAGCGTAGCTCAGGTGTAAGAAACAAGATACACGATTATATCACTTGTTATTTGTTTCTTGGCCTGCTGAATGCTGCTTTTCCAGCTTCATTGGCTGTGTAGCTTAAGATGGGAGGAACTATTTTGACTATTAATCGGGATGAATATGGGACAAAACAGTCCTATTTTATGGTACTATCCTAACAGATGCAAGGAAAAACTGAAGTAGGCAGAAGAGTCGGTCTGCGGGCCGAGATTGGAACCCAAGACCTCTAGATTACAAAGTGTAAATGTTGACTATTCGGTCATGATGTTTAACGTCTCTTGTGACTTCACGTTCACCGTGCAATCCATTCGTTTCTTTGGACATTGACTTTTGCAGCTTGCCCTATGCCGTTAAAGAATCCATGAAAATCCATGAACACGTCCAAAATCTGTAATTTCTGTGATTAATTTGATGTCACCTAACGCCGTAGTGCAATGGTTAGCACTCGTGTTCCTTATTCTATATGTCCCGGGTTCGATTCTCGGCAGATAGGGATGGCTATTCTGACGGAGGACTTGCTCTGTCCCTTCCGGCAGATGCTGGAATACTGCCTCAGATCAGGACACGACAGCTGCCTGTCACATTCTGTAAACTCCTCCGTTGCGGTCACAGCGACATCTGCTGTCTGCTTCATGCTGGTTTCTTGCTTGGCTCACTCCTCCGTCCTGAAGATGGGATTGATATATTTATACGATACGTCGTTTAACTGCCCTCTGCCGATACAGTGTTTTATCCTAGAAGACAGAGCTCTTGAAGATAGGAGAATCACTACATATTGCGTCCAAATTTTTACGCCTCTGTATATTTTATATGAGATATGTTGGAAGTCTGGGCCCAGTGTGTTTCAGTTTACTGATGATTCAGAAGCCATTTCTTCGCTTTGCTGCTAACCAGAAGTTATCAGTGTTGAATGGGACTAGTTTTGGGTTATTTCTGGAAACGAGGGTCGAGCGGAACAGTAAATACATCGTCACTGCGTAGCTTGCTTGTGTACACTTGAGATTGCTAGAAAACAAACGTGGGCCGATGATAGATTACAATAACACTGCGACGAACTTGCATTTCAGTTTTCATAAGTGGGTGAGGATAGCTCTGTCGTATGGTATGGGGCAGGCCAGTGAACACAGCTATATTCTGCTCAATCCTCATGATTTCGTGGCAGGACTGCAGATTTCTCTGAAGTCTGATTTAATTCCATGTTTCGGAGGCGTATTTCTTGAACAGTATGGAGTTATTCCGCTGAAAATAGATTTCTCTCTTTTATCACCTCTGAAGTTTCATTTCCGTATTCACGAAGATTCGTTATTGGACCCTATCCTGAACCACGAAGAATCTAATACCCTCCTTCACAGGCTATTTCTTTAAAATGTCTTTAATAGTATCGTCCTATCAGCCTGAGCGTGGAATCCTTTTCCAGTATGAAGGACATAGTCAAACTGCTTCTGGTTCTGGTTCTGCTCTACGCTGAATAAACAATTGAAAGAAGGCTCTTCTGTTTGGTTATACAGCTAGTATACTAAGGATCTTAATGTTACGCTAAGAACTTGCCTGCACTAGATTGGATTTTCTCAGTGCCTTTCCAAAACCTAAAGAGAAGGAAATTGTGTTGGATGCTGACTCCA